GTAACTTTTAAAACTAATTTTCATTGACCATCTAAACATTGATTACCAATTTCATGAATTAAATTCTCTAAAAGTTTTTAACTGAAATTACAAATTTAACTTGGCTTTTTTGTAAACACTTCAGACAGCTTGAATAAAACTTGAAATCTCCACAAATACAATCATTACAGATATATTTATGATCTCACATTTAAGCCTATTCTAGACTATGAACACCATGGGTTTAATTTATTTCCTATTTATGCCATTACAGTTTTCCTTTTCTAAACTGTTATAGTTATTTTGATATCTTCCCAGAATTTCAGCAATTTTACTATTTTTTCATTTTACTAGGATTTCAACAATCTGACCCAACTGATAGGAAAAGAGAAATACCATCTCAGACAAACCGAGGTAACAGAATTTAGGTTTTCAGCTAATTGATTCCTTGCGGAATCATAGGACATGGTTGAGTAGTTAAAGGCAATTTTAACAATCAGGCATTAGCAAAGATTCTTTTGCTAATAATGTTTTATTTATTTCATGGTACTTCTGATTGTAATACAGAGGTTTTTTGTGGGTGACTTGCCTTTAACAACAATGAAGTATTTTTTAATTTTTACATAATGATAGTACCTGTTATTCTAACTTTTTACTATTTCCATATAGTCTGTTAACACCATTAAGGTTTATGTATTTTTATTTTTATTTTATTAAGAGGGCTTTCTAAAGGATTTATTTCCTAGGAGATGAGGGATTGAGTCTTCTTAGGTAATCTCTTCTTTACATTATATTGTTAATCATCTGTAACATCTAATTGGACCTATTTATGCCTGATTATTATGTTTGACCATCAGTGTTAATCTGCCCTACCAGTTCTTGGTACACATGGCTGCTAGTCTATGTATGAATTAGAAAAAGATCACCTGTCTGAGAGTATGTAATTTGTGGGCACATGGCAACTGGATAACTTCTCTTAATTTGTAATAGGTACTTCTTACAGATTAACACAGTCTCAGGACTGTGGTGCATGGTTTGAGAAACAGAACTTAGGCAGCATACACAGTACCCGTTGGTATAGTACCTGTTTTTATGGAACTACATATGGCTTACTCATTGTTTATGTATTCTTTCATGTTTACTTTCTGATAGAAACAAGTACATATCTATACTTTATAAATAGATATCTCCTTAAAATGAAAAAATATACCCATGCACATTTAAGAGTCCCCTATATAAAAGCAAGAAAACATAAATATCCTATGACATTTGATCTTTTCTTATTACAGTTACCTTAAAATCTTGGAGGTATCATTGCATACTCATAGCCCTTTACATACAAAACTTATTTCAATCAATCATATGTCTGAAAAAGTGTTTTGGAAGTGGGAGCCTCTTTTGGTTGACTTTCCATCCTTCTAACACTGCCCCTGACATTCTTAAAGGCACCCTTGTTTGTGTCAAAAAGTTTTATTTATTACATGTATATTATTTTTCATGCCTACCCTTCTTAAAATTTTATTTTTTAGAGTCCTGATGTAGATAATTTTAATTTTTAATGTTTAATTTTATTTTTTATATTGAAGTATATACTGTATTAACAAAAAGGATAAAAACTATATAGTCATCTCAATAGATGCTGAAAAAGCATTTAACAAAAATCAGCATCTATTCATTATAAAAACTCTCCACAAAGAGGGTATAGGGAAATATACCTCAACATAATAAAGGCCATATCTGACAAACCCACAGCTGATATCATAATGGTAAAAAGCTGAAAGCTTTTCCTCTAAGATCAGGAACAAGATAAAGATGCCCACTCTCACAACTTTTATTCAACATAGGGCTGGAAGTCCTGGCCACAGCAATTGGACAAGGAAAAGAAATAAAAGGCATCCAAAGTGGTAAAGAAGAAGTAAAACTGTCATTTTTTGCAGATGACATGATACTATATATAGAAAATCCTAAAGACTATACCAAAAAACTACTAGAACTAATAACTGGATTCAGCAAAGTTGCAGGATACAAAATCAATATACAGAAATCTGTTGCATTCCTTTATATACTAACAGTGAACTAACAGAAAGAGAAACTAAGAAATCAATCCCATTTAAAATTGCATCAAAAAGAATAAAATATCTAGGAATAAGTTTAACTAGGGAGGTGAAAGATCTGTACTCTGAAAACCATAACACATTGATGAAAGAGACTGAAGACACAAATAAATGAAAAGCTATTGCATGCTCATGGATAAGAAGAATTAATATTGTTAAGCTGGCCATACTTCCCAAAGCAATGTACAGAGTCAGTGTAATCCCTATAAAAATATCAATGGCACTTTTCATAGAATTTATCATTTCTTTTAGCAGAGACCAAAGTCTGGGCACAGGAAGGCTTTTGAAAATTGGTGGCAAAAGTGCTACTTCGACTGCTGCTGCTGTTAGACCATTCTTGTGTGTGTGTAAGAGAGCAAGCACAAGCATTCACACCCTGGAAAAGTTATTTCTAAGGTTATTACAAGTTCCCACCATTTGTTCTAACTTATGTCATTGTACCCTACTTTGCTTATGATGTGGATTCATCAGTCACTAACACTTTTGCCTATATTAACATTTGGAGTGGGTGGGAGCCTGGAAAACAGGATACTCACAAGCATTAGTTTAAATATTTTTCCATAGCATTTGCAAAATATCCCTACCTCCTTTTTTGTAGCATACTTAAGAGACAAGTTGGCATGTACTAGTCTGTTCCCCATGTCTCTGTCCCTGGGTAACATATCTTTTAAGCTTCAACTTGAGCAATTCCTGTGCAAAGCCCTTCTGATTCCTGTCATTTGGGTTATCTTTTTCCTCTGTATGCTTTCCTAGTATAGTGTCTACAACTAATCATATTCTGTTTTAATTTTCTCTTGTCTTTCTTCCTCTATTGAGTTGTGATATTCTTTTAGGTTGTGCTTTTTTATATGTTACATACTGCTTCTGACATGGAAGTTGCTCAATATCTATACAGTGAATGTTTAATGAAGTTCAAAGAAATAGAATACACAGTGGTGACCTGGTTTTACTAGCCAATTCCTAAAGTTTAGGCTGTATTCCCTTGTGAAAGTGGAAGAGAAATTCTGTAACACCAGAGCCCCCACTTATGGAATACAGGGACTGCTGAGAGGTAAAATACTGCTAGGCTCTCTAGTTATCATAGTAAACTGATTGTTTCAGGGTTAGTCCCTCAATTTGCCCATATCAGTGCCCCTCTGGAAAGGACATCCATTAATTCCCTATGGGGAGGTAGAAGCAACATTTTTATTAGAGAAGGCTTCCTTGAGTCTTAAAAAATGAATAGGAGTTAACCAAGCCAAGGCAATTGGAAGTAGGCCATTCCAAGTACAGGTGACAACCTGAGAAAAAGGACATAGACAAAATATGGGAGAGGTTGATGGAAATACTGGAAGTTTAGTGTTTCTGGGATGTGAAGTATGAAACAAGGAAGCTGAAGTGATAAATTAACCTGGAAAAGTAAACAATGGTGGAATTATGGAGAGTCTATTATGCTACACTAAGTAAACAGGATTTTATATTGGAATAGAGAAATAGAAGAGATTACTGCAATGGGTAAAAGCATATCTTTTGCAGCCAGGCTGCCTAGATTTGAAACTCAGCTCTGCTTTTTACTAGCTAGGTGACTTGGGCTTTTTGTGCCTTATATTGTTTCCTTTGTAAAGGGAGAAAAATAGTAGCACCAATTTCATAGGGTTGTTTTGAGGATAAATGCATTAAATCACATATAATACATGGAGTACTCAATGAATATTAACACTTGATATTTTTATATTTATACAGTAGAAAGATCACAGATTGTAAGGAGAATGATTTTGAGTGGAATAGGAAAAGAGGGCTGGGAAACAATAAAGGGGTTAGTGTGTCCCCCAGTAGCTCCCATTGACATTTGATGTATATTTTTGAGATATAGTTCTATGTAATGGTTTTAATGAAATCACATACTATATACATGGATTTTGCATAGACTTGATTAAATGAAACCTTCCGATTTTGTTTTTCCTAAGAGTCCCTTGGGATAAACTTACTGGAAAGTCAAACTCTGGAGATTTCAGGAACTTGCATTTCATAGCTAAACTTTGGTCCTACTGTTCTCAGAGTAAAGTTCAGAACTCAGTTCCTTAGAAGGTGACCTGGAGAGAAGGAAGCCAGCTGTTTCCCACAATAGGATTGAAAATAACAATGGTTGATTTAAGACTAACATATCATGTTCTGATAGTTACTATCTTACTCTAAAACTCAGGTTGCACATATTCTTGCAACCTATAAAATGTATGCTTAAAGTGATCAAGAGGCAGTGGGTATAATAAGAGGATCAGAAGAGGTAGGCTGTGGATCTAGCTATGCTACTTAGATATTTAGTCTTAAATTTTCTGTAGATGTCAGTTTCCTTATCTGCAACATATTATTAATAATGACCACTATGTTATCTTTCAGGGTTGTCATGAGAATCAGTTGAGATGATCTATATGAAAGCACTTGACAAGACACTTTTAAAATGAAATTATTTTTTAAACCATTTAAGGACAACTTAGAAATATAATGTCATCTGTACATGTGTTTTTTCCTCCATTAAATGAACACAGCAAGAGTTGAAGAATATGCCAGTCACCTGTTATGCAAGTCACCTTAGCTTGCACATAATTCAGAATTTGTAGGTCTTCACATGGGGGCTCCTTGCTTACAATGAAAGCTCAGATATTCCACTTCAAATGTTTTTCTTGCTAAAGACTCTTTTCAGTATTTCTCTGTTTTGAGCTATGTTCCAGATCACAGGTTTCTTCAAGTCTAACCACTAATCAATGAGACATTGGTGCCCCTCTTTCCAGTAGTTCTAGTGGTCCTCCTGATAAGTTCTCCAGATGAGATATACTCCATCAAATTCAGTGCCCCAACAAAGGCTTTAAGAAGTGCCTCAGAGACCTGTGTCCTTTTGGAAGTCTTCCTCTCCCTATTTTTCTACTAAAGATGGATCTAAAACTAAAAAATCCTGAGTTCTGGTATAGTTTTCACGGCCAGGTCCTCGGGCTGCTGGACTGGGACATGGGGAATGAGTTTTTCCTTCCATGCACCACAGAACAATGCCCCTTAACTGAGCAGAACCTTGCCATACACAGACTTTCAGTGATCGAGCCCCCAATAGTGCCTCAAGAGGGGATACCCCGTCCTCACAAAGAAGGTATTGACTCTGAACCCAACGTGTGGATGTGGATGAATCCTAACATCATCTTAGCCTCTGGCAACAATGAGGCCTCAAAGCCTGTTAAGAAAAAGGATCTGACAAGCATACTTCCTTCCCCTCAACCACTCCCAAAGGACAGAGTCTAACTACTCAGAAGCAACACTAATGGAGTCCCTGCCAACTTCTTCCACTGAGAAATCTACCCAACAGAAGCAGTTTACCTCTTCCCACAGTGAATGGGAGCTCACAGAAGAGGAGACTGAAGAACAAGATGGCATTTCCTCTGTGGCCCTTCAATCCTCTAACAAAGGGGAATGTTTCCAGAGCCAGAAGCTATGGCAAGGCAACAACCAGGAGAGAAGGTCCTGGCACCGCACCTCTCTCAATTACAGCCACTTAATTGCCCTGGCATTAAGAAACAGCCCTCCCTGTGGCCTCAATGTGCAAGATATCTACAGTTTTACCCAACAGCATTTCCCTTTTTTCTGGACAGCTCCAAATGGCTGAAGAACACTATTCACAACCTCTGCTTCCTGAGCAGCTTTGAGAAGGCACCAGTAAATCATCATGATGGGACCAAGGCAAAGCCACCATCTGGTCTCTGGAGGCTTACTGAGGAGGGTCATTGCTGCTTTCAGGAGAAGACTCATGCCTTAGCCTCTGCTCAGAGGGAGAGCATCCAACAGTGCATGAGCCAGACAGATATTGTGACCTCTCTCTTTGACTTTTGAACTGCCACTTATCCCTTTCTGAAACACTACCCTTCTTACTGTGCCTCTCATGCCATGATTGGCCTTCATTAATCCCTAAACCTACCCTAACTGGCAGATGCCAAGATGATATTTAACTACTTTATTTGATAATGGTATCAAATAAAGTAAGAGATGGGTACAGAGGAGGTGAAGCTTAAATACAGATGGGGAATCATGGACAGTTACATGAGGGCAGTCGCAGTTGTTTTGCATTTTCAGCAAAGGCAGGATCCTAGGAATAATGGTATGGAAGGTAAGGAGAGAAGGGCATATTTTATAAGAAAAGGAATTTCGTTGAATGGAGAGTATGCTCCATTTTTGTGAAAGCAAATGGTGGAGTATAAAGCATAAAATGCAGGAAGGGGCTGGACCTTGAAGAGCTTCAAATGCCGTGTGAAGATATATATGCATAAAGAGAACTAGATTGATGTTCAAAGCCTAGAAATTCAAGTATGCCCCTTTTACCATTCATCAGCTATATTTCTTTTTTAAGTGATCCATTTTATCTTTCAGGGTCTTACTTTTCTTTATGTTGCTGGACTTCACAGGTTTGTTCTACTGACATCCAACTCCAGTCCTGACAAATAATTCCAAGCAGTTACTTTTAGTTTGGATATTAAAAGCCCCTGAATTGAGCTTAACTTAACCCCAAGTTTTTTTTTTTTTTTTGAGAGGGCATCTCTCATATTTATTGATCAAATGGTTGTTAACAATGATAAAATTCTGTATAGGGGACTCAATGCACAATCATTAATCCACTCCAAACCTAATTCTCAACAATCTCCAATCTTCTGAAACATAACAAACAAGTTCTTACATGGTGAACAAATTCTTACATAGTGAATAAGTTCTTACATGGTGAACAGTACAAGTGCAGTCATCACAGAAACTTTCGGTTTTGATCACGCATTATGAACTACAGACAATCAGGTCAAATATGAATATTCGTTTGATTTTTATACTTGATTTATATGTGAATCCCACATTTCTCCCTTATTATTATTATTATTATTATTACTTTTATTTTTTATTTTTTTATTTTTATTTTATTTTTTTTTGAGAGGGCATCTCTCATATTTATTGAATAAATGGTTAACAACAATAAAATTCAGTATAGGGGGGTCAATGCTCAATGTACAATCATTAATCCATCTCAAGCCTAATTCTCGTCAGTCTCCAATCTTCTGAAGCATAACGAACAAGTTCTTACATGGTGAACGAATTCTTACATAGTGAATAAATTCTTACATGGTGAACAGTACAAGGGCATTCATCACAGAAACTTTCGGTTTTGATCATGCATTATGACCTATAAACAATCAGGTCAAATATGAATATTCGTTTGATTTTTGTACTTGATTTATATGTTGATCCCACATTTCTCCTATTATTATTATTTTTATTTTTAATAAAATGCTGAAGTGGTAGGTAGATGCAAGATAAAGGTAGAAAACATAGTTTAGTGCTGTAAGAGGGCAAATGTAGATGATCAGATGATCAGGTGTGTGCCTATGGACTAAGTATTAATCCAGGCTAGACAAGGGCAGCAAGACATCCACGGATGCAGAAGATTTAACCCCAAGTTTTTTATGACAAAGCTTTGCTTTTCAATTATTTCATTCATCAAACCTTTGATGAAGAAATGCCAATGTGTCTAGGCCCATCTTAGGTGTTGAGGATAAAAATCTGACAGTTTAGTAGGAGACAGATATATAAGCAAATATTTGTGATATAAATGTGATGAAACAGGTGTGCAAGGTTGCCATGGAAATAGTGATATATTTTTCTTGGGAAAGGCATTGAAAAGGGAGTCTTAATGCCTTTCAGTTAGTTTTGAAGAATAAATAGGGATTTTCTGGGCACATAAACTGGAGAAAACACATTATAGAAGCATCAGTGTGAACAAAGTAAATGCAGTGTCTGGGGAAGTTAAGTGTGGCTTAGCTATATTACGGTCAAGAGTAGTGAGAAGAGTAGGCAAAAGGTCTTTCCTGTAGGTGTCTGGACTTTATCCTGCAGATTATTGGAACCCAAGAGATATCAGTGGTGTTCTAATAAAAAACAAAAACAACACTGAACATTTCAGCATTTTGTTTTCTAATTTCAAAAATCTACTTAACATCTTTTCTATACAAATAAGCTCTCCTTTATCAGATTGAAGCATATCTTACTGCCTTTTATGCTGGTGTATTATTAAATAAATAACCAGGAGAAAATATATTAGATTTTTAAGTATGCATTTAGTTGCAAAACCTTCCATAGTTGGGACACAAAAATTTCTGTAAAATACAAAATCATTTAATTCAATATAATTGTAGATCAAGTGAAAATTTTAATTTTTGTAGTGGCCTGTTATAGCTCATACAAAATAGTATATTTAGGTTGAAATGCAAAAGCAACATAAAACAGTGTTCTTTGAAATAAGAATTGCAGATGTTACTTCTGTATCATAAGGCAAACAATGACAAAGTTGACAGAATACTTTAGAACTAATAAAATATGGTTATAAGTGTTCAGCATTTGCTTTACATTTTTTCCCAAAATTAATCCTTGTAAGTAAAAGAGCCTATAGTGAAATCAATAACTGTTTTTATCACAAATTATATTTCTAACATATGTAACATTTCTACTCTATAAATTTTCCAGACAATGTACTTTCATTTTCAGAACTGAGCCTGAATTTTCTGCTGCAATCTGGTGTCTTAAGCTTTGAAAACTTCTACTCATTTTTTTCTAAACATTCTTTCACTCTGGTTGGAAAAAGCAGTGGCTGGCATGGCATTTCTTGAGTTACCTCAGATAATTCAAATAAAGGCTGGTCTTTCAGAACACTTTTTTATTCCTGCTTTTCCTCTTTACCAGTATCCTGATACTTAAGTGACTACTGCTCTCCTGAGCTCTTCCTTTATTCATTGATGCCAACAATAGTGCTTGCATTGGTGTTACTATTTTTTCCTTTGGGAGGTTTCCAAAATCAGTTTTGGTAAAGGGGGTAATATTTACCATTCATTACACCAACAAAAGCTTTATAAAAATCAGTAGCTGCTTTGATAATTGTCGGACCTGGTGTGTACTTGATATAGATATTATTTCCCTTATACTTGCTGCCTTCTGTCATATCACTGAATTTGTAAGTGACAGTTTTTCCTGCACAGAACACTCTAAGAACCCCCAGCCTGTGATTGCTTCAGTTCTAGCATGCCCACCAGGATATTGTTTGCAGAGACTCTGGAACCCAATGGGCCATGACAACTTACTTCAGTTCCAGCAGTCCTGCCAAGGTGCCCCTTGTAAAGGGTGTCCCATGAACCCTCTGGTCTTCTGCTCTCCTGCATCCAGTTCAGCTCCTGCAATCCTACCAGGGTGTTACCTGTATGGAGCTCCCTGGGACCCTCCAGCTTGTGGCTTAGTAGCTTCAGCAGTCCAACCAGGGTACCCACATCTTGGAGAGCCCTGAAACCCATAGCCCATGCTCAATTCAGCTCAACCATCCTGCCAGGACACCCTCTGCAACAAGTGCCTCAGGATCCCCAGCTTGTGGCTTCTTTGGCTCCAACCATTTCATAAAAGTGTCACTGGTGTGCAGTGCCCAGAGAGGCATAGCCTATGCCTACTATAGCTCCAGCCAGCCAACCAAAGCCATAGGCACATGCAGTCTACACAGGGGCCACACTTGTACAAGGCAACTCCTCCAAGCTTGAAAGAAGTACTTGTTTTACCTAGTTCATATAAATGAACATAGAATGTTAAACAAAATAAGAAAACAGGAAAATATACTTCAAATGAAGGAACAAGACAAAACCTAAGAAAAAGTACTAAATGAAATGAATTTAAGCAATCTCTGTGATGAAGAGTTCAGTTATGCTTATAAAGATGCTCACTGGGCAAAAATAAAGAGTGGATGAACACAGTGAACATTTAAAAAAAAAGAAAACACAAAAAGACTCAATCAGAATTGAAAAATACAATAACTGAAATTAAAATATACTAGAGGGAACTATGAGCAGATTAAAGGATACAGGATAATGGGTCAGGGATCTGGAAGACAAAGTAATGGAAAGCACTCAAGTTGAACAGAAAAAAATATTATAAAAGTGAGGATAGGTTAGGGAACCTATGGACAACATTAAGCATAATAACATTCAAATTATGTAGGTCCTAGAAGTGGGGAGGGGAGAACATTTATTTGAAAAAGTAATAGTTAAAGACTTCCCTAATATGGGAAAAAAACAGACATCCATGTCCAGTAATCACAGAGAGCCCCCAGCAAGATAAACCAAGAAGTACATGACAAGACATATCATAAAAATAGCAAAGAATAAAAATAGAGAATCATAAAAGCAGGAGAAAAGCAAATAATTACAAAAAAGGGAAACCCCATAAAGCTATCAGATGACCCTTCAAAAGAAACTTCATAGGCCAGAAGGGAGTAGCATGGTGTATTAAAAGTGCTGAAAGGAAAAATAAAAGAACTAAGAGTATTCTACCCTGCAAGGCTAACATTCAGAATGAAAGGACAGATAAAAAGTTTCCCAGACAAACAAAAGTTAAAGGAACTCATCACCACAAAACTGACTTACAAGAAATATTACAGGGGCTACTTTAACTGCAAAATAAAAGGCCATAACTAGAAGCAAGAAAATTATGAAAGGAAAAATGTCACTGATAAAAGCAAATATACAGTAAAGGTGGTAGTTCAGTAATTTAAAAGCTACTATAAAAGATAAAGACAATAGTAGTAAAATCAATTACATCTAAAAATTTGTTAAGGGATTATGAAATAAAAATATGCAAAATATGATATCATACATCTAAAATATATAGTGCTTTTAGAATGCATTCAAATTTTAGTGACCATCAATGAATATGTGCTACAATAAACTTAGGATGTTAAATATAAACTTCATAGTGACCAAAAATCAAAATCCTATAATACATAACAAAAAATAAAGACAGAGAAATCAAATCAGAGCACTAAA